GGTTTCGGATGAAACCATTCGTAGCGTGTTAAATTACCAGAAAATTCCAATACTGCTCTGTTTTCGCTTTCGAAATTGACAACTGGGATTTGAAGGGTCTACCTCTTCCATCTCCTCCTACTGTCGCAATCGAATGTCGGTCTTTTCCCTTCAGTAGCAGCGACTCGCAGCCTCACCCTATACTTCTTTTGGTCCTTACGTTTTTCGTGCCTTTACCTTTTCAACTGCTCTCTTGGCATCACTTTTAGAGGTTACCTTTTCGGGGTTTTCCCTACCCTTCCCTTACTGGCGAGCACACAGGCAGAGACCAGACTTTTGTCCGACTACCGTCTAAGAGCACATGCAAAACGGAAGCTACCTCTCTGCTTTCTCCAACCTCGGTCTCTCTCATCTGTTCAGTTTTTCGACTGACAATATAGTTTTCCTTCTTCAATGAATTTCCTTGTTACGCATCCTCGGCCGTTCTAATCTTTGGAGAAATATGAAATAAAGAACATGACAGGACAATTCACCTTTATCAATCCTTTTCTATATGCACCACGCATTCTAGCTCTTTTTCCGGATTCAAACACCTGTGTACGACTAATGAGTCAATCTATTCGCCAGATCTGGGAGGTAGAGTGGGCGTGGCAGCATACCCCATTGGAACGACGACTTACGAGTGCCGAAGGGATTCTGCAGTTTTGAAATCCGATGTGATCATGTCTTTGCCCAGCCCGCGACAGGTTTTTCAAGCGTAAATATCCCGCAAAAAACGCATCCTGCCCCGTGTTCAAATCGAGAACGCAACCACGCTTACTCCATCTCCGGGATGGAGTATATAGGAGTGGTTTCCCACCTTTTCTCTGCCAACACTCCAATCTACACGGGAACGGGACTGAAGGCTAATGATGCTGCAGCGCTGTCTCCATACTACGCTCGCCCTGCCGCACTACCAGTCAGGCGCCCAACTATAGCCAAACACGCCACTTGCCTGCGCCCTCCACCTCTGTTTGTTTCCTACTCTTGAGTGCGTGTTTCGCTGCGGGGTCCTGGTATCCACGCAGATGCTGCTCACTGAGGAAAGCTCGGGCGGGGTATAGACACAGCATTGGGGTACCACCACCTTCTAAGCCCGTTCACATGCACTCTTGAGCAGGGAAAGGGAACGCTACTGCACCTGAGGACTCATTCACCGCGCATATGAGAACAACCGTCCTGAAAGTAAAGGTATAGTTTGAGGCGTATTCAACGGTTTTGTTTCTTTCTTTCATTGGTGAGTTGAGTGGTACCTTTAAGGCCACACTTAATTATTACCCACGAAGTGCATTCGTGAAATGAGCCTCCAACGAGTTTTCTGGCAGTTCCATTTTTATTTTACCTTACTTTCAGTAGATTTCTCGGAAGGAAAGTTCGCAGAGAATCTCCGATGTACAGATGACAAAATGCACAAGCTGATCCCATTATTCTGCTATATCTGTGTCGCAGAAGCCTCCACCCACCACTATTATCACATACATGATGATGAGCTGTATTATTCAAAAACTGATGAGGTGAGCTTTTCTTGCATTAAAGACAGTTCCCGTGACTGAGTGGTCCGCGAAATGCCTACGTGCATTCATCGTCGTTGTGCAGAGAATATACTACTTTTTCATCACTAGAAACGGCGAGATAAAGAAGAGACGCGTGATATTGCAACCATTGCAACCACGATTACTTTCACTCTGCAAGACAACGGCTTACAAGCGGAATTGCGTGTGTACATAGCGTTGCCTGGAGCGTCGTAGGGTGATTTCCTGTGCTCTTGCCGGGAATCGGTTGCACGTCGAATCCTGCTGATGGGCTTGCCGACGTTCCGACAAACTCGTCCAGAGCGTTTCCAAGATTTTTTTGCTACTCTCTCTACTGGGGAGTTCTTATGGGCTACTGGTTCATGAATGAGCACCTACTATATCGTAACATTTAAAGGCAATTCCCGCGACCACACTTCATAGGTAATACAGTTCAAAAATAGAATTGCCGTGTGTTTGTTGACTTATTGAAGAAGAAGGAAGCACGAAAAACGCCCGGAATAAGACCCCTTTAGAGGGGGGGGGGGGTGTCCAACATAGAACAAGGTGACAGTTATCTCAAATTCAAATATATCACGTGTAACCCATTCTGCGCCATATTCAAATGCCTAAGGCAGCGTTCAGACTTCGCGACGGCAGCGCTTCAGTCGCGCGTTCGATGCAGTCGAAAGCATGCGCATAGATCGCGCCGGATTACCGAGGCGCTGTCGTCGCGAAGTCTGAACTACGTCGCTACCTTACCTACTCCGTCTCAGGAATAAGGAGTGCACCCTGTGCGGCAACATTGCTTTGGTCACTGCAGTGTGTTGCTAACAACAATGTTTCAGTGAATCTATTGCCATTTTTTGTAGAACAAGATCTGTTCCAATCACCGAAGATATGCTAGAGAACATCACAGGTCTCCACAATGTTGAGTTACTCAATGTCGAGCCTTTTGCAGGAAAAGCGTTGCACTAATACTCGATGGCATCACCTTCGAACAAATTGAATTTGTCTTCGCCGGTGAAAAAGAGCTTTGCTCAATCAGATGAAGTCCAGGTGGCATGTCGATGTGCAATGTCCGAGCGCCTCGATTTGACAAACGGCTCTTTGGTCGAACGCTTACTTCACTCAGGAAAACTGAGTAGCTTGAAGAGCGGGCACAAGGATTTAGAAGTGGCGATTAAATGCTGCGATGGCTGCAGTAATACCTTGCCTAGGTCGGCCTTCATGCTGTCAAGGTAGCCGTGTAAGAGTAGCAGGTACTAAACTATGCATTTGCTACAGTAATACTGCGGTCCACAGCTTTTGGAGGGAACCTTCCCAGCAGGAAGATTGATCAAACAAATCACATTGCGAACATGACGATATATAGCCTTGTTGGCTGCGGATGAAGGGGAGAGTCAGTGAGGCTGGATTTGGCACGCCGCCTGCGCGTTCTCCACCAGTCGTTGAAATGGCAACAATGATTTCGTTGATTCCGCGTTAACGTGAGCCGCACGATAAATGACTGTCGATGATGCAGATATGATGCAGTCAATAGTTCCTCCCAGTTTGCTATAAGGGCTGAATTTTCAGCTTGACGTCGTTGATCTTCTTGTCAAGTAAGTAAATTTTCTGGTCGGATTTTCTGATAGCGTGGCATGAAGGACAAATCCCCGAATGGCTTTTGCTCAGACAGGCGCTATACCCCCATGGACGATACATTGGCACCATATCCGGCTAGGTGAATAAGATCACTAACGAGTAAATCGGTTGGCTACGCAAATAATCCTACAAGCCTCACTGCACTCAAGAAGTGGAAGTGGAATGGATACCGCATCCTAAAGGGATCGAGGGCGAAAATCCTATCCTTTATTCTTTCAGCAGTGCTCAGTTTATCTACAATATGCTTACTTTGCTTTATTAGAAAAGAATGTAGGCCCGAAGCTGGATCCCAGAGTATTACTGTGAGGCTCGGCGCTCTAGTTATGTACTTTGGAAGCACTTCTCCTTAATTTTGTACCTAAGGTGATCAAACCACAAAATGAGAAAAATAAAATTATTTTTTGAATGTATTTTAGGGCCCACGGATCACTCGTCACAGCTTTTTTAAACAAGAATTCCGATTAGGATACAAATTGAAGCTGTTTTGCGAAGCTCATGGTGTACCTCTACCAGATCTGCGATGGTATAAGGATGGCATAGAGGTTCGAACACGGCCTGGAATACTGGTACGGCTCAACTTACTTCTTTCTCCACTGTGGTGCTTTCTGTATTAACAATGAAATTAAAATCCACAGCAAAGCCAAAAGAAATCAAGTTGGAAGAGGCAAGTTGAGTGTTAGTGCTACTGAAAAGAATAAGAAAGGAATCTTCTTTTTGACAGAAGGGGAAAACCATTGGCCTCGTTAGGCACAATAGAGATCGTCGGAATCAGTCGTGGCGGTAAAAAGAGCAGTACCCGCGTCATTTTCACCACTGGTTGTTTCTTCATTGATCGATCACTTGTCGATCATCACTGAAAGACAGAGAGTTGAGGGTATGTGACAAGAGAATCGTAATTCGCCGCGCTGGTGGCGTCGCGTGCGACGTCGCGCCCGCAAATGACGATGGTTCCAGGTAGTAGATGGCGACAACAGGCAATTCAGAACCGAAAATAGTCATGAATGTCTACGATGACGGGGTCTACATGAAGTCCGGTGCTCCAATCGACAGGTTAACACGAGTTAAGAAAACGCCGCGCCATCGCCGCGCGCGGCGGAGCGGCAAATTACGATTCTCTTGCCGTCTCCCAGAGTTGAGACGGGCTCATCCCGCCCCTTCCGACCCCGCCCCGACTGACTGCGACCATGTCAAATATAGAACTTCACCGGCAAAGATCGGGTCCTTGGCTTGAAAGGTAAAGAGACGACGACTGTGTTGGGGCTTACTGACAGCATAAACCAGTTAAAAACTAACTCGTCCGGGATTTCAGGCTCAGAAACCAAGGGAGGCCCTCAAGCGAACGAGTTCATTATCCTTCACATTCCTCGAACAACCCTGCGAAAGGTTAGCCGCGGGTACAATTTTCGACCGCCTTGTCAAACGGTTTTTGCTGGGAACCATGGTTTTGCATCTGTTGGTATCCAGCTCGCGCGGACAGTATGGACAGAGCCAGGCCTACGAATTTGCCTTCCTCAACAGTGTGCACCTCCTCTAAAGCAAGACAAATAGGAGAGCCACGCCTATGAAGAGTCCACATTAATAGGCCTAGCCCCGCCCACACGATCACCGTGACCTGTTCTTTCAGTGGTTAGTCATACAAATCTACGTATGAGAATGGAGAAATGGAAAAAGATTTTTCCTTTGTGA